TGGTATTCATTCTTCTCTAGTAACCATTATGTAGCAAAATACTTGAAACAAGAGGAACAAGTTAGTTCTCAACGGGGCATAGTCCTTTTAGGCAACTGTGGATAGTTTGTTTCTATGAAGTACATGTAAGAAGGTATATTTACATACTCCAAGAATTATTAAAGAAAACAACACTTACAAATTAGTCACTGTGGTGACTACTTTATATGTGTTGTCATTTACTACCCCTAATAACCTTAAGGGGTGGATACTATTTGTGGTAACCAGCCTCCAAGATGGCCCCCTGAATCCTGTCTCCTGGTATTCATAAGTTTCTGTCCTCCCCTACTACATTATTCCAGGATTGGTCTGTGTTATTGATAGGATGTGGTAGAAACGATGGCATGTCACTTCTGAGATTAGGTTATAAAAGACACTGTGGGTTACATTTTGATTGCTTACTTTCTCTCAGATCATCTGCTTTGGGAGAAGCCAGCTGCAATGTCATAGGCAGCTCTATACAAAGGTTCATGTAGTGAGGAAATGAGGCCTCTTGCCAGCAGCCATGTGAATGAGCCTGAAAAAAAAGATACTCCAACCCTTGTGGAAGCCTCAGCCCCAGAAAACAGCTTGACTGCAACCTCACAGGAGATCCCGAGAATTACCCAGCTAAGACACTCCCAGAATCATGACTTTCAGAAATACGTGAGATAATAAATGCTTGCTGTCTTCTGCTGCTAAGTTTGGGGGTGATTTGTTATATAGCAATAGATAACTAATATACTAATATTATCCTCACTTGATAGATGAAGAAACTCGGGCTTGGAGATATTAAGTTACTTGTCCCAAAATACACAAAGTTGGAATTCAAACTGATATCTGAAACTCCAAAAGCCCAAATTCTTAGCCACACTCTGCCATATTGCCTCATTTATATGCTCAATCTTAATGTTAAGCCACATTACTTACTATTTTTTCCTATGAAGCAAATATCTACAGTGTACCTACTATTATAAATATACTTTACTGTACGTAATATGCTAGGTGCTACCAGATGTATTAGGAGGGACATATCCGATAGGATATATCCTCATGTATTTTATTCTATAATAATTTAACAAGTACCTAGTTGTTCTCAAGTACCTAACAGCTCTCAAGAGATCTGTGAGAGCCACCTAGTGTCAATTCTGTTTAACTGCAATCTGCACAGTTAGCTGGATACAAATATAGCAAGCAAAGGGGGAAAGAAAAATAGAGGCAAACTCTTTTTCAGAAAAAGAAACAGACTCCTACTTATAGAGAACAAAGTGATGGTTACCAGAGGGGAGGTGGGTGGGTAATAGGTGAAACAGGTGATGGTGATTAAGGAGTGCACTTGTGATGAGCACCAGGTGTTGTATGGAAGTATTGAATCTCTATATTGTACACCTGAAACTAATATTACATTGTATGTTAAGTAACTGGAATTTAAATTAAAACTTTAAAAAGTCACATTTGGGGCGCCTGGGTGGCGCAGTCGGTTAAGCGTCCGACTTCAGCCAGGTCACGATCTCGCGGTCCGTGAGTTCGAGCCCCGCGTCGGGCTCTGGGCTGATGGCTCGGAGCCTGGAGCCTGTTTCCGATTCTCTGTCTCCCTCTCTCTCTGATCCTCCCCCATTCATGCTCTGTCTCTCTCTGTCCTAAAAATAAATAAACGTTGGAAAAAAAAAAATTAAAAAAAAAAAAAGTCACATTTTATGCCATTAAAAAAATTTTTACTGTTTATTTTTGAGGGAGAGAGACAGAGAGCATGAGTAGGAGAGGGGCTGAGAGAAAGGGAGACACAGAATCTGAAGCAGGCTACAGGCTCTGAGCTGTCAGCACAGAGCCTGACGTGGAGCTTGAACTCATGAACCATGAGATCATGACCTGAGACAAAGTCAGATGCTTAACCAAGTAAGTCACCCAGATGCTCCTATGCCACTTTAGATCCTACTAATTTAAGAGAATGTAAAACATTTAATGCTCTCACTATGTGCACAAAATGAGAAATAACTCCAATCTTACTTCACATTTATTCTCCTGGAAAACTTCGTCTTGAATATCTCTCAATTCTGAATGACAAAAGGTGTTCACTCAATATAAAATGGAGGTTTTAAATACCCTACAACAATGTTTTTCTGACTTCATGCATTTCCTTTTCTGATTTACAGAGAAATATGCATACCTCTAGAAGTCCTTTTCACTTAAGAGAATGCAGCAGTGGGCATGGAAGAACCAGTAAATGAGAATATATTTGATCTTCATTAATCTGATGATTGCATATTTGCAAATTCATCTACCCAATAAAATTTATTTGGAACCCCAAAATCAATAGTCACAGTGCTTTTGTGGTCACTCACAGATATGTGTAGACCAGTAAAAAACTTTTGCATCACCCAATATACACTTCACCTGCTGAGGTTGAACAAGGTGATGCTCTGCTTTATTTCAGCTCTTATACTGTAAACAAGTTGGTTTTTTTGTTTGGTTTTTTTTTGGTTTTTTATTTTTGCTGTCTGTGTATGCTCTGTTCAGATTTTTGTGCATTTTTTTTGTTGGTGATTTGTGGTTTTAAGTGGCCCCCAGTCATACTGCTAAAGAGCTATCTGATACCCTAAGTGCACAAAAGCTGTGATGGGCATTAGAAAATGCATGGATTGGATAAGCTTTGTTTAGGCATGAGCTACAGTGTTGTGGACCCTGAGCTCAATGTTAATGCATCAACAATATATATTATAATAAGTTCATTTAAACAGAAACACAAAAACACAGATGTGGTCATTTGACAAAGATGTTATGATCAGAGGCTTGCAGGAACCTAGCCCTGTATTCTCCCCTAGGAGCAATGTGTCAGTATTTACTAATTCAGTGTTGCTGGTGAACACATAACTAATCACTGAATATGCTAGTGTTCGGTATGCTCTGTTCTATTTTTATTTCCAAAATATTATAGCAGAAAGTTTAGCTAATGAGGTTCTAAAATAGTCATGAGTGCACTGAGCAATGTGTCAGAAATTCATACAACGTAAAGAGTGAATTTCTACAGTATCATCTAATTTAACCTGTCCTAAACAAGGCATGTTCTGTCACAGTTTTGATGTTCAAATTATATTTGTCTAATATGTAGTATAATAAATATATGACTATTAAAATTTTTTAAGTGAATGCATACTACCAAAATTACCTCATGCACCACCCTCAAATACTAACACTGACACCTGAATCACATTTGGGAAAATACTGGTATATATTCCACAAAAAGTCATTACTAAATTTTTTAATAATGGCACTTTTGATAATTTTTAATAAAAAAAATTTGCCCGCACTTAAAATAATTATTTTCTTAATTCAGATTAAGATCACTAGTGTAATTATAATACAAAACAACATAACATTCAGTATGAGAACAATACAAAAAAAGTGTGATAGGATTCAAGTGAATATTCTAATAAATGATACATTAAGAAGCAGTATTTTGATGTATACCTGTAACTGTGTCAAACTGCTGAGATAATGGGTTAGGAGCACAGTTTTGATCCAATGACTCTGCATTAGTGGCAGGTGGCTGCACAGGGATGGAATGTCCCAGTAGGATGTTCTCTGCTGCTGCTGTCAGCCTGGGCCTTTGTCCTTCACTAAGTTCACCTGCACTGTATTCCAAGTCCTGTAAAAGGTAGAAACAATGGTTTCAAACCCTGTGTTATAATCAAGTCAAGGGGGGCGCCTGGGTGGCGCAGTCGGTTAAGCGTCGGACTTCAGCCAGGTCATGATCTCGCGGTCCGTGAGTTCAAGCCCCGCGTCGGGCTCTGGGCTGATGGCTCAGAGCCTGGAGCCTGTTTCCGATTCTGTGTCTCCCTCTCTCTCTGCCCCTCCCCCGTTCATGCTCTGTCTCTCTCTGTCCCAAAAATAAATAAAAAACGTTGAAAAAAAAAATTAAAAAAATAAATAAATAAATAAATAAATAAAATCAAGTCAAGGAGCACCTGGCTGACTCAATCAGCTTAGGGTCCCACTCTTGATTTCGGCTCAGGTCACAATCTCATTGTTTGTGGGATCGAGCTCTCCATTGGTCTCTGCACTGATAGTGCAGAGCCCGCTTGGGATTCTACCTCTCTCTGCCCCTCCCCTGTTTGCGCGTGTGCATGCACACGCTCTCTCTCTCTCAAAATAAAAAAAAAATAAACTTAAAAAAACTAATAAAATCAAGTCAAAACAACAAATCTTTGTCAAGTACAATGGTCCACGCCACTTGACTGCTTGGAAGGTATTTTAGAAAGTGCTTATTATGCCACATACACACTATGGAAAAACAGGTGTAAAAATTCATTTAATCAGGCATTTAGCAATAGGCTTTGTTGCCAAAATCTTGTTTTTTTGAAGTTAAATAACCATTACCTGCTTTTCAAATTCCAAATTAGGTAGCAAAACACATAAGAAAAAAATTATTATTTATACTAAGTATTGGCACACATCACACATCGTTCATAGAGCTTAAAATTAAAATGATAGAAAATTTACCTCTCATTCTTTATGAATGAAAATTGTCTGAACTTGTCAGGGTAAAATTTATAGTTAAACAAGTATGATGATGAGAATATACCTTAAATGATAGAAACATTACCCCTATCCAAACAATTATATTTTTTATAAGTACACAAGTTGAAGAAGACTACTTTAACCATATTTAATAAAGTTTTTTTCCCTGGGAAAGTATACAAGTACAAACACATCTCTTTATCAAATATATGAAGTAAATTTAAATACTTAAAAGAATTGGGACGCCTGAGTGTCTCAGTTGTTTAAGTGTATGACTTTGGCTCAAGTCTTGATCTCGTGGTTTGTGGGTTCAAGACCTGCGTCAGGCTCTGTGCTGACAGCTCAGAGCCTGGAGCGTGCTTCAGATTCTGTGTCTGTGTCTCTCTCTCTCTCTCTCTCTCTCTCTCTTTCTCTCTCCCTCCCTCTCTGCCCCTCCCCCACTTGTGCTCTGTCTCTCTCTCTCTCAAATATAAATAAACATTTAAAAAAACTAGAAAGAATTAATAAGACTTCTATTTTCTTTCTGGATTAAAAATGATATATCTAATCACTACCACATTTTGTAACTCAGAAATATTCTAACTATGAGTTTGCTCATCAAGAACTGAATAAAAATTCCAAAGTCTGAAAGCTCTCATGTTTGTCATTTAAATGGGATTTAATTTCAACCAAGTGTTTTTACTAGAATATATTAAGAAATCAATTAGAAATTAATTAGAAATATTTCACAGTGCCTATTTTACTCTGCCACTACCATATAAAATATTGTGCAATAAACAGTACCTTTTCTATTGTGAATCAATTTTCTAGGTGCTTGTAATTGCTGAGCTATTTAACACCTTACAGTCTATGACCCGACTGAAGCCTTAGTTTGCCCACTCACAAAGTGCTCTCATACTCCAAAGTACCATTGATCTTGGCAACAACCCAGGCTGCAGATACTTGTACCCAGAGTAACATCAGGGAGCACAAAGGCCCAGCTAGGGTGAAAGGTTGCAGGCAAAATCTGGCCAGGATTCATTCCTTCACCCTCTTCCCCTCCAAACACCAGGACTGGATTATAAAATCTCCATATTCCTTAGCTTATGACCTCCTTGCCCAAAATCTCTTAATAGCCTCTACAGTAGTGCCCAAGCCTTTCCACAGCCTAAAAGGTTCTTCATGATCATCTGGTTCAACCACGTTCTCCAGACTTATCTCTTTATCTAAAGTGCTATCACACCGAGATATTCAACACTTTCTAAATATTTTCATTAGTTATCAACTTTGATTAATCGTTAATCCCTCTTCTCCCCACATGACTATAACCTTACTAAAGGTAGGGGTCCTATCTCCTTCACATATTTACTATATGTGTCTGGCATCTAGTAAATATTCGGTAAATGGGTGAAGAAAAAGAGAAAGAATGAATGATCCTCACAAATCATTTAAAAGGGCTTCAGCTTTTTTCAACTAGAGAACAAGAGGGTTAGAACGGATAGTCTGAATTCCTTTCAACTGTAAAATTGTAGCGCTCTGACTTCAGGTCAAAGTTACAAAAGCTTTTTTTTTTTTTCTGTATTAGGATCAAACCAAGAGGAAAAAAAAAAATCACTAAGGTTAATAAGTACCTCTGAAGGGTAGACTGCTTGCTGAGAAACTAATGACTCCTGGGTCATTTTGGCAAGAAGAGAAAGAATTCCATCTGTAGGAGTCTTTTTATGGGGCATCCTAATCACTTGTCCTTCGCTGGGAGGATCGTCTTCCTGAATGAAATATAAAGACAATGAATAAGGCAAAGAAACCCTATCAAGCAATTGTATTTTTCTTGATTTATGATTAATAAAACGTAGTAGTAGTTATCATGAAAATGGCCTATTAGCACATTATGGAAAGAAGGCAGACTCTATTTTCATTTAGTTCTCATTTCCATTTGACTATACTAACAACCCTCTAGTTTGCCTCAAACAGAAACACCACCATAAAGTCATTTGATTACAATTAAACTGGAGATTTATTATAATAAGCATGAAAATTGGACCCCCTGTCCCAAGGGATTGAGTTTAAATGATTCACAGATGTTTTATATAGGACCATCAAGTTTCTGGCTCACAGTTTCCTGCTTCCTATTTATGCAGCACCTGAAGCAACACCACAGTGTGGTAATGGGGGCGAAGCACCATCTTAACACTACAGCCTGGACCACAGGCGAAAATAAAAACCTGCAGAAATATGCTAAGGCGCCTATAGACCTTCGAGTGTCCCTTCCAAAAGGGCTGATCTCTGGTACTTGGCTAGGGAGCAGGTACTGCAGCCCTCCCTGGAGTACCCAGACTAGGCTTCCTGGTGCTTCAAATATGACCCATCCCAAAGATGAAGGGCAGTGTGGGCCTCAGAGTCAGAGAAACTGGATTCCTCTGTAAATACAACTATTAACAAGAGTTTTACTTCCATCAATAGTATTTTTTACTTATTTTACTATTAATGAAACAAAGTTTATTAACTCTAGATTGCCATAAGTCTTTATCCCCCAGCTGTATATAAATAAATGTCTCTTGGTGACATGACTTCAAGTTATTCTTGGTTTTTCAAGATGGTACTTCTGCATTTGACTTCATTATGAATTTGTAGACATTTAATTTAGGCTTAGCAAAAATACCAAATTAGAGTTCAGTTTCAAATGTAGAAAAAGAAAAGGTGTTTTCATTTAGCCCTGGTTTGGTTTAACCATTTACTTTAAACAAACTTAAACATGCTCTGGCACCATGATAAAGTTCTAAGAATGGATAAAAATGCCATAATGACATAGTAAGTAAGCCAAATATCAGTTTAATGCTTCTCTGAAAATAAAGACATCTCATTTATGCCTTCCCCACATATTATTTCATAAAAGTGATTTCCACTCTCTTCATAATGGACTTAATTACTTACAATAAATGATTACTGTTAGAGAAGTAACTGTTCCATTAAAATCTTACAAAAACTATCCTTAATGTGTTATTTTACCCCCTGTACAGGGTAAATTGTTTTTAACAAATTTTATCACTTGGGTACATTAATTTCCAGATTAAGCATCTTTATACTGTAGAGATATTAAGTATTAAGTATCTTTAATAGTAGGAAGATGCTACCTAGCCCACAAAGCTGTCTGTTGGACTTGAGCAATGCCCCACCACACACACCTAACCCCTTGTAACTTCAGCTTTAGGATTTAGAAAGCCTCTTATTAGAACTTAAAATTTACAATTATCATCTTAAAATGAAAAGGTCTCATTATATTATTTATATAATATATAATAATAAATATATAATTATAAATACATAATAAATATTAAATATTATTTATATAATAAATAATTTATATTATAAA